ATATAATATTGATGGTCAAAGTAAAGCCTTGGCGCAGTGGTAAAGCTGCTGCCTTGTGACCATGAGGTCACGGGTTCAAGTCCTGAAAACAGCCTTTACAAAAATGTAGGGAAAGGCTGCGTACAATAGACTCAAAGTGGTCGGACCCTTTCCCGGACCCTGCGCAAGCAGGAGCTACATGCACCTGGCTGCCACTTTATGATGGTCAAAGTAAATCTCAGAATATGCATTCAGCCTTACAAACCCGAAAGGGTGGAGTATGTGTACGTGTCACTAACTGGAAAGAAGAATACACAAACTAGATGACCATAAAATGTAGATAACCCGTCAATCTATAAATTAACCAACGACATATAAATAGGACGAGCAGCCACAAAAGTAAACTGCACAAATCTGAACATCGGTGCTGTAGGTAGGTTTGTAGCGACCATGGCAAATCAGATCCTTGATTTTTTTTATTCTATATTTGAGTGCTATGACACACATCGACAGACGGACACTTCTTACATGTGATACTCTCACTGGTGGATCTTTGAATAAGACCCACTTCTCAAAAAGATCCATCATATAGTCAGCATTCTAAATTTATCAATGTGATCATAATTTCCATTCTAAAAAGAAGGGATTATAATCTGCAATTGCCAAAAACTGAACAACTTAACAACAACAACAACAACAACAACAACAACAAAGCCTTTAGTCCCAAACAAGTTGGGGTAGGCTCTTGACACTACAATAAAAATCTGAATATGGAATAAGTACCATCAATCAGACCTAATAACCATTATATGATACCTACAAATACATATAAATCAATTTGAAGGGCATAGAATCGATTGAAAAACATGACCACAAATAAATGGAAAAATCCGTATGCTAATGTTGTGTGTCACACCTATGACACTGCAACAACTGTTTTTCCTAAAAATGCAGCTATAATTCTTTAACCCACAGGTGTTCCCCACATCACCTAGAAAATTATCTCCAAGATACAATGATGAAAGCAAATAATAGTAAGGACAGTACAAACATACATACATAATTCCAAAGTATATGAGGATAACACTCACCTCAGAAGTGAACGTGCTCTCTGAAGACAATAGACTTCCAGTGTAAGTACCAACAGATGAGGATTTCCTCATCCCACAATCAGTGTAAGTCTTGGTAACTGGATTATACAATCTTAGCAATCCTGGTGCAGAGATGACTATCCTCCCATCATTTAGAATGTCCACTGGTTGAGCAAAGAGATTTTCACGTTGGCGATCTATGCTGTACCTTTTATTCCAGAGACATTTCTCAATATCCATCAAAAACCACAAGTCCCAAGGGCAATAATATTCAGGATCATGTGCCATAACTAAGAACCCATCCAAACATACCAGCGATAGCCCCATGGCTAGACTAACGTAACTGGACCTGCCATCACTGTCCTCAACAAAGCTGCGCACTGGCATTGGACCTTTGACAATCCCCATCCACTCCTCTGTCTCAAGGTTGAACAAAGCCATGCTACCCGGTTCGACATGGTCGCCAGAAAATGTGGGACGTCGAAATTCCAGCAAGAAGTAGACAACTCCTTTGACAGCGACACTTTTGTCACGGTTACTTGCGATAGGGGCCGGAGGGCCCTGTTTGCCCCTCCATCTTGCATGGCGACCATCATCAAGGGTGATGACCTCACAGAGCATCGGGCTCGACTCGCTATTGGAATTGTCGATGCTGACACAGCGTATAGCCTTGTACTCTCCCGTGGAGCCAACCAGTCCAAAGTCAAATGATTGTGGCTATCCGCTTAACGACATGGCCAGACAAGTCCATAATCTCAATGGTGCCTCCTCTTTGATACAATTCACTGGTACATGTGACAACTAGTGGCCCAGGGTGGCGGGACTTGTGCGCTGCAACGAAGAAGAACTTCTGACGTTGAATTCCCGCTTCTCGTACTTCACCTTCGCCGTCCCAAACAATATAATTTCCAGCTTAATATCATCAATGATAAACTATACAGGCCTGCTCAATGATATACGTAGACAATACTCACCCCCCTCGTCCGATTTTTCTGGCTCCGACACTGTGTGTCCTCCACCCCATTGCAAATAGTGCAGATATTTGAATAAGCCATATGACCATGCATCCGCACTTACCCTGTGGGGATGGAATCTCATGCCAAACACCAGACGAAGTTTCTCAATTTTGATGAGACATTGGACTTTCAAAGCTTGCACCTATGTTTTCTGGTTGTATGTACTTTCTCCGTCCTAAAATAAGTGTTTCAATTTTATACTACTAAATTTAGTATAAAATTGTACTAAATTTAAGACACGGGGAGTACATCCCAAGCTCCTTCCCTTCCCTCAAGCCAATCCAGCCTTCTGCGTTTGGAGCCAACCAACATTTTATAAGCTGACTGGACTGAAAAAATCCATCCGATCATAGTGCCATGCCCAGCAATCTTCCCTGTCGACCAAACTCAATGGGATATTCAGCACCACATGTGCATCTATAGCCTGCATGTGCTCCATTACTAGCTCCCTATTCCAACTCCTCTCAGCATGAGTAATAAGCTCCGCCAAGGATTGACCGAACGGGGTGCACAAGTCTCAACATATTATCCCCTGGAATCCAATTGCCATTCCATATGCTAGTGCCTTCACCGAGTATTTAATCAAAAACTACCACAATTCACGGAACCGTAACGAAAAACTACCACTTTACGATTTTGTCCCGAAAACTACCACTTTTTTCCTAATCCGTGGCAAAAAACTACCAAGTCGCGAAATCGCTCGCTTAGCCCGTGCTAAGCACAAATCTGACCGCTTGGGCCCACCTGTCAGCATCAATCTTCTTCCTCCTCTCTCTCTCTCATTTCCACGAACACCTTAAGTGCACTCCGCCGCTCTGCCCCCGCCGGCCGGCGAGTCCCACCACCTGCCCCGTGAGCACCCCCCACGCCCCTCTTCTCTTCTGCCTCGCAACCGCCGCGCATCGTGCGCCCCCATGGCCGCGCGCACGCCACCCGCGCCCTACTCCGACCCCGGACCTCCCTCGCGCGACACCGCCTCCCAGCCCTGCGCGTTGCGGCTTGCTGCCCCCGCCATCGTCTCCTACTCCCGCAACTGCCGTGGCCGCGCGCGCGTGCCGTGGTCGCGCCCGGCTGTGCCCGTCCGCGCCCAGCGCGTCGCGATGCCCGCGCCCAGCTCCGCTGCTACGCCCCCTGCCCGTTCTCTGCCGCACGCCGCGTCGTGGTCGTGCCCTCTCCCCTGGCTCCGTACGCCGACGCATGCATCCGAGCGCCCACAGCCGTGCTCACTGCAGCACCGCGAGCCACAGCCACCCCTGGCCTCGCCCCGCACCTCTGCTCCGTCGTGCCGCCTGGCCTTCCGCCCGCTCTGATTGCCCGCCACCTCGCCGGCCATCGCTCGCCCTCCTCGCACCGCAGCTAGCCACCGCATCCCCCACACCATTGCCCCGCGCCGTCCCACTGCGCCTCGCAGCTTCGGCCACCGCACTGTTGTTGCCGCCACGCCCGCTTCCCCCTCCGTTGCTGTCCCGCCAGCCACTACCTCCCCTCACGCCGTCGCTTGCCCCGCGGCCGGCGCCCGCCACCGCAGTCGTCCCTTCGCCGCCTCCCTTGGCCTGGCCGCCGGCGCCGGCGTGCGCCACGCGCGCCCAGTGCCCTCGAGCCTGCACCGGCACCCCTGCACACGGCGCCCGTCGCCCGCTGTGCCCGCTCGGGCGCACGCGCACACCCGAACGGGCGCAGGATGATGATGGCCAGGGCAGGTGGGGGCAGGTGGTGGGACTCGCCGGCCGGCGGGGGCAGAGCGGCGGAGTGCACTTAAGGTGTTCGTGGAAATGAGAGAGAGAGAGGAGGAAGAAGATTGATGCTGACAGGTGGGCCCAAGCGGTCAGATTTGTGCTTAGCACGGGCTAAGCGAGCGATTTCGCGACTTGGTAGTTTTTTGCCACGGATTAGGAAAAAAGTGGTAGTTTTCGGGACAAAATCGTAAAGTGGTAGTTTTTCGTCACGGTTCCGTGAATTGTGGTAGTTTTTGGTTAAATACTCGCCTTCACCATTACCACTTCTCCGGATTAGACCTTGTTTAAGCACTTCTTTCCCTTCGTGCACAACACTCCACACCTAAGAAGGGTGGCTCCCCACTTCCGCCTCTAAAGAGTAGTAGATGGGAAATAAACAGATTTCAAGGTACGAGCACCAGGAGAACGTGGGTCTTGGATCATCCTCCACGCCTGTTTTGCAACCATTGCCAAGTTATGGATTTGAGCGTCTGAAACCAAGTCCTCCCATATATTTTGGCATAGACCAAGTCCTCCCATATATTTTGGCATAGTGAGGTCATCCCATGAGACCCACGCCGTTTTTCTCTTCCCATTCTTACTTCCCCACCAAAACTTCCTTTACATTGTGTCAATTTGCTGGCAGAAGCCACATGGCAAGACACTTCTCCATTGATCCATGAACCCTCTCCCACAATCTATCTTTTATGTATTTGATCGAAGGAACCATTCTTAAGACTTCCAGACATCAGAGAGCAAGCCTAAGTATCTCTTTTAAAGACTCATTAGGAACATCAAGAATGATTTTGATTTGCTCTCTCATTCCTCCCGAGCATCCCTTACCAAAGAAAGTGACGCTAGTCGAGTTCATACACTACTCTCGAACAAGGTCAATAACAGAAGAAAAATAAAAATAGATCTGACTTGTGTGGCTACATCTGCTTGTTCCGAGGTTTGAGATGTTTTGTTCCACATGGATTCACTCTTTTCTAAGTCCAGAATGGTAATCGATCCATATTGACATCGCGTTTGGAAATCACACGATCAAGCTTATTTTCTTCCGTACCAAATATAAATATATGTTCCAAAATAAGTTTCATCAATCATAAAAAGAACATACAAACAACAATGTTCTCTGAAAAAACAACTAGGCTGACATTTGAAAACTGATTTTGTTGGACCATACTTGAAATTGTCTATCAGTTGGTAATTCCTGAAAGTGTGTCCAGTTGAGCGCAGCCTTCCAGACGCTGCAATAAAAGCAAGGCTTGATGCAACATACAGTCTTCACAGAGTGCATAAGGTTCGATGGTTTCAAGGGTGCCATAGCAGCCACAGACAGTGCAACGTTCAGCCTGCAAGAGGAAAGGGACGCATCAGATCTTCACTCAAAACCCAAGATATATACTGCCAGTGCCAAAATGATTCTGTAGTGCTGAATGGGGGAATGAATCACGGCTAGCAATTGCTCAATTCTCTCACTTGTTTAATAACATATGAATAGTTGAGTACTATGTAAAAATACAGCATGAGGAAATAATAAGCAAGGGGTAACAACATGAGTAGGCAATTTACCAATCTAACATGGCTGGCAATTTATTTAAATTCATTGGAGAAAATATGCATGTGTATGTACCGCTAAGAATAGACAACTCTCCAGATAAGAAAAGGAGGAGTACACAAACTAGATGACCATAAAATATACTCCCTCTGTTCCATAATGTAGTGCGTATAGATTTTTTTGAAAAGTCAGATTTTGAAAACTTTGACCAAGTTATTAGAGATAACTATTTATATCTACAATACCAAATATATAAAGTATGAAAGTTCATCTTATAATGAATCTAATGATATAAAGCCAACCACGCACTGGAGCTAAATGGCGCGGTGTTCGATTCCTCACGAGAGCGATTTTTAACTCCGCCTATGTTGTCTCAACATAATCGGTCCCAAGCCCGGGTAAAGGAGGAGGGTTGTGATAGGCTTGGCGAGCCAACATCAAAACTCAGCCACTCTTATGGAGATGAAAACCAAAAGATTTTGTTGTTGTATTCTAGATGTAAATGTTTTTCTCCACAAATTTGGTCAAAGTTTGTGATGCTTGACTTTTCAAAAAATCTATATGCACTACATTATGGAACAGAGGAAGTAGGTCACATGTCATCAATCTATAATAGAATTGACCATCAAAATCTGAATAGGAGCAGCCACAAAAGTAAACTGCACAAGTCTGAACACTGGTGCTGTCAGTACGTGTGTGGCGACCATTGCAAATCAGACCCTTAATTTTCTTGATTTTTTTCTTTTATACTAGGAGTGCTTTGACACACATCTCCAGACAAGCACTTCTTACATGTGATATTTATCACTGGTAAATCTTTGAATAAAAGTTAAGGAAGCTTCAGCAATCTAAATTTATCAATGCGGCCACTATTTCCGTTCTTAAAAAGAAAAGGATCGTAATCTGCGGTTGCCCAAAACTGAACAGCTTGACAACTTCTACAATAAAAAGCTAACTGTAGAACAAATATCGTCAATCAGACCTAATGACCATCATTTTCTTTACTACAAATACATACAAATCAATTTGAAGGGCATAAAATAGATTGAAAAACATGACCACACTGTCAAAACTGTTTACTGTAAATACACCTGTAATTCTTTAATCCCACAGATGTTCCCTACGCTGCCTAAAAAATTATCTCTAAGATACAAGAATAGAAGCAAATAATAGTAAGGACAGGCCAAACATGCGTACATAATTGCAAGTGTATGAGGACAACACTCACCTCAGAAGTGAAAGTGCTCTCTGAAGACAATAGACTTCCAGTGTAAGTACCAACAAATGTGGAATTTCTCATCTCAAAATCAGTGAAAGTCTTGGTAATTGGATTGTAGAGCCTTAGCCGTCCTGGTGCAGAGAGGACTATCCGCCCATCACTTAGAATTTCTACGGGTTGAGCAAAGAGAATTTCATGCTGGCCATCTATGCTGTACCTTTTATTCCAGAGAGATTCCTCAGCATCCATCAAAAACCACAAGTCCAAAGAGCTATATTCAGGATTGTGTGCCATAACTAAGAACCCATCCAAGCATACCAGCGATAGCTCCATGAATAGACTAAAGTAACCGCCATTGCGCACTGGCATTGGACCTTGAACAATCCCCATCCACTCCTCTGTCTCAAGATTGAACAAAGCCATGCTACCATGTTCGACATGGTCCCCAGAAAATGTGGGACGTCGAAATTCCAACAAGAAATAGACGACTCCGTTGACAACGACACTTTTGTTACGGTTACTTGCGACAGGGGCCGGAGGGCCCTGTTTGCCCCTCCATCTTGCATGGCGACCATCATCAAGGGTGATGACCTCACAGAGCATCGGGCTGGACTCACTCTCGGAATCATCAATGCTGACACAGCGTATAGCCTTGTACTCTCCCGTGGAGCCAACCTGTCCAAAGTCAAATGATTGTGGGAAGAAATGTTTCACATGTGCATGCTCCTTTGCACAGCGACTGGGCAATGCAAAAGTATCCCCCGTGGCAGGGTTGATCACATGGCGGGTCGAACGATGCTCATTTCTGGCGACACAAATAAGGTCCAGGTGGCGTGTGCATTCCAACCGGGCATTCTCCATGCTGGTGGCTATCCGCTTAACGACATGGCCAGACAAGTCCATAATCTCAATGGTGCCTCCTCTTTGACACAATTCACTGGTACATGTGACAACTAGTGGCCCAGGGTGGCGGGACTTGTGCGCTGCAACGAAGAGCGGATCTGAGAGGAGGGACCTCCAGGATCGGCTGACTGCTCGGAAGAGGCATAGCGTCTTTGCCGGGAGGCGCACGAGGATGTGACGCAGCATGTCTTCAGGCAGCACGCCATTGCTGGATGCGGCGACGCGCACCTTCTGCGGCATCACTGAGGGCAGGCGTCACAGTTTGCCTGCAACAACAACAACAACAACAACAACAGGGGAGTACGCTTATCATGTTGCTCAATAATCTGGCGAGAATAGGCGAGCAAGAACACACAAATATGCACAATAGAGACAACAGGTTCGCATCAAGTGGGGATTATATTTTCGATTTTCATTCTACTATATTGCATTGCCCTTGCCTATGATTACGAGGCTACGAAATTAGAAGGTGCAAGCTGATTAAGACCTAAAGCTAAGCCTAGCAAATCATCTATTACTTGGTGAGGCCCCATAGATAGGGGCTTGAGCGGTGACAAGGGGACGGCCAGGAAAAGAGGGAGGGGTTGTTACCACGTCGACGACGCTGGTGAGGTGCGCGGGCGCGCGGCCGGAACGGATGGATGGCGGCGAGATCGGAGGCGGCGCGGGAGCAGTGGCGAGTGGAGACTGGCGTAGCCTAGTCACGGGGGCCGACGCTGGTGAGGTGCGCGGGCGTGCGGCCGGAGGAGGGGTGGATGCCGACGAGGCCGGAGGCAAAGCGGAAGCGGTGGCGACTGGCGAGCGGAGAGAGGAGACTGCCGTCGCCGGCCGACTCGACTGGGCTGCTGGTAGCCCAAAGTAGTCGCCAGGGCTCACCTGAATCTTTTTCGGGTCGCTGCAGTACTGGGCCGACACAGTGCTGTAGCATCATTTTGCACTGTTTTGCCTTTTTCTGTTTTTTCCCTTCAGTTTCTTTTGTTGGTTTTTTAAATTTTCCCTCGGTTTTCGGTGTTTCTTTCTCGATTTTTACTGTGTCCTACTGTTTTGCAATGGTTTCTTCTTTTTCTTTACTTTTTCTCTTTTCATTTTTCTTTCTTGGTATTCTCTTTGTTTTTTCCTTCGCCATTTTTAGTATCCACTACAAATCTGACGGCAGATTTTTTTAGCATGGCAAATCAAACGTTTTTCATGGCAATTTATGTTTGCTGAGGATGGCAATTTTAATTGGCGAGCAGAAATCTACCTTAGTTTATTTTTTTGCCGGGAAATTGCCGTGCTCGCCAACTAAATTTTTCATCCTCGTGTCAACGTAAGCTGTCGTGAAAAACATTTTATTTGACATGGCTACAAATATGACATCTGGTTTTTAGCATCTCTGTTTTTTAAACACATGTCTACTTTCTTTCAAGCATCATGTAAATTTTTCGGATACATCCAGAACATTTTTTTACAAATTTAACTCTTTTAAAACACATAATTTAATTTTTCAAAATATATATGTTTCTATGTCTAGTTTTTCCTCATACACGCTGTACATTATTCGTATACATCTGAAACATTATTTTCATACACATTTCACATTTTTTAAACACAAGATTAGTATTATTTTCAAATATATATTTTGATGTCTATGTTTCTCATATACATTGTATGTTTGTTGCATGGTTAACATTTTTTAAATACATGATTAACATTTTTCCAAATACATGTTTTTCCAAAATTTTGTTAAAAAATAATATAAGTTGTAACATATTTTGAATATAAAAAACTTTTTTTTGCATTACAGAAACATTTTTGTACATAGTATAAACATTTTTAACGTGTGTACATTTTTTAATGTCACAAACATATTTTTGAAAGCTATCAACATTTTCCAAAATTACGTTAAAAAGGTTCTGCACTGCGTTAACATCTTTACATGTGTGGTGAATACTCTTCAAATTTATTGATTAATGTTTTGTTGGTATTAGAATATTTCAAATATATAAATAAAAGAATAAAACAAAATGGGGGAAAACGAACAATTTAACACGTACGTAAGCAAGCAACAAACAACCTACTACTGGACTGACCCATTTAAGTGTTGTGTTGAGGCGATTCTACCTCGGTAGAAATGAAGGAAATATGCTCTAGAGGTAATAATAAAGTTATTATTTTATTTCCTTATTTCAGGATAGATGTTTATTATTCATGCTAGAATTGTATTAACCGGAAACATAATACATATGTGAATACATAGACAAACAGAATGTCACTAGTATGCCTTTACTTGACTAGCTCGTTGATCAAAGATGGTTATGTTTTCTAACCATAGACATGAGTTGTCATTTGATAAATGGGATCACATCGTTAGAAGAATGATGTGATTGACTTGACCCATTCCGTTAGCTTAGCACTTGATCGTTTTAGTTTACTGCTATTGCTTTCTTCATGACTTATACATGTTCTTATGACTATGAGATTATGCACTCCTGATTATCGGAGGAACACTTTGTGTTCTACCAAACGTCACAACGTAACTGGGTGATTATAAAGGTGCTCTACAGGTGTCTCTGATGGTACTTGTTGAGTTGACATAGATCGAGATTAGGATTTGTCACTCCGATTGTCGAAGAGGTATCTCTGGGCCCTCTCGGTAATGCACATCACTATAAGCCTTGCAAGCAATGCAACTAATGAGTTAGTTGCGGGATGATGCATTACGAAAACGAGTAAAGAGACTTGCCGGTAACGAGATTGAACTAGGTATTGAGATACCGACGATCGGATCTCGGGCAAGTAACATACCGATGACAAAGGGAACAACGTATGTTGTTATGCGGTTTGACCGATAAAGATCTTCGTAGAATATGTAGGAGCCAATATGACCATCCAGGTTCCACTATTTGTTATTGACCGGAGACGTGTCTCGGTCATGTCTACATAGTCTCGAACCCGTAGGGTCCGCACGCTTAAGGTTCGGTGACGATCGGTATTATGAGTTTATGTGATTTGATGTATCGAAGGTAGTTCGGAGTCCCAGATGAGATCGGGGACATGACGAGGAGTCTTGAAATGGTCAGGACGTAAAGATCGATATATTAGACGACTATATTCGGACATCGAAAAGGTTTCGAGTGATTCAGGTATTTTTTGGAGTACCGGGGAGTTACGGGAATACGGGGAAGAAGTATTGGGCCCCATGGGCCAAGTGGTGAAAGAGAGGAGGCAGGGCGCGTGGCCCCCCTAGCCCAAACCGAATTGGACTAGCCCCCCCCTTTCCTCCTTTCCTCCCTCTCCTTCCTTCTCCCCTTCCCCCTTCCTTTCCTCCTCCTAGTAGGAGTAGGAAAGAGGACTCCTACTCCTACTAGGAGGAGGACTCCTCCTCCTGGCGCGCCCTAGGAGGGCCGGCCGGCCTCCCCCTTGCACCTTTATATACGGGGACAGGGGCACCCTAGAACACACAAATTGATCATTGATCCCTTAGCCGTGTGTGGTGCCCCCTCCACCATAATTCACCTCGATCATATCGTAGCGGTGCTTAGGAGAAGCCCCGCGTCGGTAGCAACATCATCACCGTCATCACGACGTCGTGCTGACGGAACTCTCTCGTGAAGCTCTGCTAGATCGGAGTTCGTGTGACGTCATCGAGCTGAACGTGTCCTGAACTCGGAGGTGTCGCGCGTTCGGTACTTGGATCGGTCGAATCGTGAAGATGTTCGACTACATCAATCGCGTTCTCATAACGCTTCCGCTTACGGTCTACGAGGGTACATGGACGATACTCTTCCCTCTCGTTGCTATGCATCACCATGATCTTGCGTGTGCGTAGGAATTTTTTTGAAATTACTATGTTCCCCAACAAGAAGTGGGGTATAGTCACACCCCAAAGTAGTAGGGACTAGGGAGCGTCTCATATTATTCGTCGAGGCCGTCCTAAATGGGCTTCCTCTTGGTTTGGTTTGTATTATCCTTGAAGGAGGAGGAATGTGCACAGTTTTGTCACATCCTCCTCCAAAATTATTTTTTGTGTTTGCTATTTTTCATCCGCGTCGAAAAAAATTCAGGCCTCACTATAATTTGTGCATGCGCTCGACGGTGAGACATGATGGCTAGCCCGAGCCAAGAACTGGTTGGAGATGAGTACATCGTGTTGGAAAATATGCCCTAGAGGCAATAATAAAATGGTTATTATTATATTTCCTTGTTCATGATAATTGTTTATTGTTCATGCTATAATTGTGTTATCCCGAAATCATAATACATGTGTGAATACATAGACCACAACACGTCCCTAGTGAGCCTCTAGTTGACTAGCTCATTGATCAAAAGATAGTCATGGTTTCCTGACTATGGACATTAGATGTCATTGATAACGGGATCACATCATTAGGAGAATGATGTGATGGACAAGACCCAATCCTAAGCATAGCTCAAAGATCGTGTAGTTCATTTGCCAGAGCTTTTCCGAATGTCAAGTATCATTTCCTTAGACCATGAGATTGTGCAACTCCCGGATACCGTAGGAGTGCTTTGGGTGTGCCAAACGTCACAACGTAACTGGGTGACTATAAAGGTGCACTACGGGTATCTCCGAAAGTGTCTGTTGGGTTGGCACGAATCGAGACTGGGACTTGTCACTCCGTATGACGGAGAGGTATCTCTGGGCCCACTCGGTAATGCATCATCATAATGAGCTCAATGTGACCAAGTAGTTGGTCACGGGATCATGCATTACGGTATGAGTAAAGTGAATTGCCGGTAACGAGATTGAACAAGGTATTGGGATACCGACGATCGAGTCTCGAGCAAGTAACGTACCGATTGACAAAGGGAATTGTATACGGGATTGATTGAATCCTCGACATTGTGGTTCATCCGATGAGATCGTCGAGGAGCATGTGGGAGCCAACATGGGTATCCAGATCCCACTGTTGGTTATTGACCGGAGAGTAGTCTCGGTCATGTCTGCGTGTCTCCCGAACCCGTAGGGTCTACACACTTAAGGTTCGGTGACGCTAGGGTTGTAGAGATATTAGTATGCGGTAACCCGAAAGTTGTTCGGAGTCCCAGATGAGATCCCGGACGTCACGAGGAGTTCCGAAATGGTCCGGAGGTGAAGAATTATATATAGGAAGTCCAGTTTCGGCCATCGGGAAGGTTTCGGGGGTCACCGGTATTGTACCGGGACCACCGGAAGTGTCCCGAGGGTCCACCGGGTGGGGCCACCTATCCTGGAGGGCCCCATGGGCTGAAGTGGG